CCCTAAACTCCTAAACCCAAAACCCCAAACCCTAACCCTAAACCCAAAACCCCATAAAAGCGAGGCCTCGTGGCCCCCCGAGCTTCGCCGGCAAATGCAGCCGCCGACTTCGGCCAGCGAGGCCGAACCGACCCCGTACCTCCCAAAGTAAAGGACGCGGCTCTATGCATTATGAATATCTTGTTATCATTACACTAGCATTATAGTTCTTACTAGTACCATCATTGTCAATATTATAACTGCATTATTAACTGTAGCTATATTAGTATGATTGTTATTATTATTACTTTGTATCTTTATTAGGTTTTTAGTAACAGTAATAATTCTGATTCAAAGGCTTCAAAGGACTGAAGCGGTTAAGGCTTTAGGGACATCTGCCTTCTTGTTTTAAATACTTTGGGCTTGGGGTTTTGGTGTGGATTAGGACTTTTCGAGGTTTTTTTTTTTGCGGGTTTGGGGCTTTGGGTTTTTATGGGGTGTAGGGTTGGGGGTACAGGTTTGACCGGGGTTCAAGTCTGTGTGGGGCTGCAAGTAGGGTTTCGGGTTGAGGGGATGCAGTTGGGCAGGGCTTCCAGAACAGGGGGCACTTCTTCCAGAGTTGGGCTGAGGGCTTTACAGTTTCGGGCGCAGGGTCTAGAGCTTCATGGGGTATCGGGCCGAAAGCACACTTTGTTTAATTCTTAGGGTTGAAGTTGTTGATAGATATTGCGAGCTACATGCATGCAGACATACATGAAGATCATAACGATGCATCATAACATACTATAACGACATAAGAATGAAGCGATGCCGATCCGAGGCCTGAGAGCTCAAGCTCTCTTCTGCCGCCGCTGACAGCTCCTTGCACTGCAGCAGGAGCTCCACGATCGGTGCCTCAGAGACATTACGGGACATCTCCCTGGCAAGAAACAAGTCAGAGAAGTTCTTATAATATGCGTAATCCCACAAACCGGGTTTAGGGTTTTGGGAACCATAAGGATAGTAATAATAATCCTGCTAGGTTGCTTAGCTGTCGGGGCAACGGAGCTTTGTCTTTGCAGCGCGAGGTGTTGTTTCTGGATCTCAACCAGACCCAGGAGCATCCCAAAGATGTAAGTTTACATCCGCCCTAAACCCTAAACCCTAAACCTTAAACCCTAAACCCTAATGATACGGAGAGTCATAGCCTAATAGCCTGTCCATGTGCGCCGAAGTCTCGTGGGCTTCGATTCCAGCGAGGGAGATGCTTTGAGAATGCTCCAGCTTGCACGAGAACCCCAAGCTCCACGCTTTTCAGTCGATGTGAAGTCAGGGTTTAGGGGTTTAGGGTTTAGGGTAAGTCTCGTACAGATACGTAGTTGTAGCCACCCATTTTTAGTCCTACTCACCAAGTCCCATGAAGCCCGAAATCCGCAGCAACTTTGAAACCTACCATGAAAAACTCAATCCGTCTTCAGATCACCGGCGCCTGTGCTGCCGCTATGGCAAGATCTAGCGCGGACACCCCGTCCTCGGGATCCATCTTGATGCGTGGGAAGAGGCAGAAATGAGGGGACGGCAATATACGACAGGTTCCTCATGATAGTGGCCCCTACACAAAGTGCTCCAGCAACTATTTGGGCCGGAGCTTTTGCAATTTGCTGGAAACGTTCGTGAGTTTTTCGAGAACAAGGCGGCAGGATCGGACAGAGCCAATCAGCTCACAAATGCAGGAACGAAGCCAACTGTGCGTGCATAGTTCAAATCTACTGCGAGCTTCGTTGGCAGCAAGCTAGGACCTACCGACCTAGTTTCCCGCAACGGCGAATGCACTGCCAATGCTTGCAAGGACTTCCGCGCAAAAAGGCTCGAAGTTCAACGTGGGTTTGGATGCCGACTGAAATACCCGACTGAAATGCATGAGCCCAAGCCCTTCGCCCGAAACCTACTGGACCCTGACCCTAAACCCTAAACCCAACCTTCAGAATGTTCGAGCGGATCCGAGACACCACCCGCAGGTCAGCTCGAGCCCCGTATTGGAGCAGCAGCTGAAGCGCCTTGCAACGACGAGGCCAGCGATAAGCATGGGGTTTGTTAGGGTTTAGGGTTTA